CCCTACACATAATCGACCCCCAAATCTAATTCTGGCTATGAAGGCCATTTTGGTAACTTTTGAAAACCTTTTTCTTTTTCCAATGTTTTGAGTAAAATATCGATAGTGACTCCTTCAACCTATTTTTCTGAAACAATTGATTAAGGATTAGTCTGGTGTTCAAGTATCCCTTAATTAATGAGATTTTCAAAATGGAAGTCTAAACCATCTATGGGTAAGATCATAATTTTTTGGGTTTTGACAATAAGAGATAAGATAAAAAATATTGCCATATAGGGACCTAAATGACTTTGTGTAAGTAAGCGTTAAAGTTGAGCAATAAATCAAAAGGAAGAATTCTTTAAAGAGGGATTCCTCATCTTCTTCATACAATAGAAAGAACCATAAAGAGGAAGGATACTTCTCTAAGAGTTACCCTAAGAGAGAATCTTCCAAGGGAAATAACGAAAAAGAAAATTCCTCCCAGGATAAAGAAACTCCCAACACTAGGATTGGTAGCATAAAATGCTTCAAGTATCTAGCGAGAGGTCATGATGGAGGGCCATCCTTGAAGATCATAGGACCTTTGACATGATCTATGGTTAGGAGGCTAGGAGAAGCTACTAGAGAGGATGTGTTTGTTAGACCTGTGCTTATCAATACATTAAAATTAAGACAACATATACAAATTTCTTAACTCATGAATAATTTCAATCATTTAACTAAATACATGCTAGAGAGTAGAGGATACTTTAATTTCCAACACTAGGGCCAATTATCATTAGGTGTAGTCTAAGGATGATAATTCTTTGATTACTGTTGTAGGTGAGTGTTATGTTGCTTTCGGTAGAGATTTTGTTTCTTATAATTATCGTTTTCCCTTTGAATTCTATCTTGGTTTGAGGGAGGGGGGATTTTTAAGTATGCTTGTGATTTCGTAAAAAAAATAGAAGATTTCTTTATAAGCAAATGGGTTCAACCTAGGGATGGAAAATAAACTCGTATCCATGGGTAATATACGAACCCGTCCCGACTTTGAAAGGGAATACCCAATTTGACTAGGTATGTGTACAGGTAAAACCCAAATATTAAATCAAGGATAGGGACGGGGACGGGTATATGCTTACTTGTCCCATCCCCGTCCCTGATTTAATACTCGTCCCCAATTTGATTATTTTAAAGAATTTTAATATTTAAGAGTTAGTGCCTTTAAAGTTAAGACTTAAGAGTCTTACGACTCTAGTTCCCTTACCCATATGAATTTGGGGATTTAGTGGCTTTAGTTAGGGTTAAAAGTGTTGAGAGTTGAGACTCAAGCCCTACAGCCACACCACTCCAGCCTCCAACTGACCAAGGCCATAGCCACCGCACCACTCTAGAACTGCACCAGTCCAGTTGTGCAACCACTCCAGTGCTGCACCCTCACACATCATGCTTTCTTCCTCTGAGCGACTCCCTCACGATAATTGGTACATCTCTCTCTCTCAATATCTCTAGGGTTGACGCCTGGTGGGGTTCTTTCTTATCTATTTCTATATGCATTGTTTGTACATTGATAGAATAAAGCACCACAACAAGAGATATGCTTTCAAATTTCAAAACTCACATAGGCAGTTGTAAATATATAACTTTGTTTAACATCAGAACACCAATGTCATCTTTTACATTTTTTTTGGTTACAATTCATTCTTGGCCCTGCAACGTTATAAGTTTAATTAAAATAATATTTGTCTACATATGATCATTCAAGTTCAAGCTGAGCCTAATTATTATTTATAAATTTTGGGCTTTTGCAGTGGTATCTTTTGAGAAATTTCTCAATGACATCATGAGTGACCATGACTTGTACATAGGCAATCCCAACTACATTGTTGGTTGATGATTCTATGCCTCAAAAGTTGGTGTGAGAACATGATGTATTCCTTAGGTAAACACTACAAAAAAATGTGTGATTTGTGGCGGTTATTTTGGTGGTTTATGGCGGTTAAAAACCACCACAAATGGCATTACGGGCGTCATTAATAAACGCCAGATCTACGGTCGCCAAAAACCGTTTGTGGCAGATATTTTGTAAACGCTGGTTTTGAGCGCCAGAAAATTCAATCTCTTTGTGGCGGTTTCAAACCGCCACAAAATGCATTTTAATTTTACTTGTTTTTTATTTTTTCATTTTCTAGCGGTTTAAAACCGCCATAAAATTTATTTTAATTTTGCCTCATTCAATGTTTTTGGGGGTTTTAAACCGCCACAAATTGCGTTATGTGCAAAACATGAATAATGCATTGTTGAAGGAAGAAACAATAGCAGCAAATGAGGCATGTCAATCTTTAAGTACCAAAACATTGGACTTCGATCTCAATGAGCCCTATGTTTTGGAGGATTAAGTAATTTGTGTAGTTCTCCATTTTGCTATATTAGATATGTTGTGTTAATCTTGCAGTTTTATTATTATTAACTTCAACAGAATTTGATCTTTGTGTGTGAGAGAGATTCTACAATAATATTTCAATGCACTAAAAATAATGAGAAATGGTTGAATTAAAAAATGAAGAAATTTCATATTCTACATGTTGTGAAAAGTGTAATTTAATAATTCCAAAAAATGTGACAACAAAACACAGATTCACAAATTTCCAATTTACCTCATCCATTACTAACTTTCCATATTCACCAATTACATTCATTAATTTGTGATCATCTACAGCACAATCTCGAATTTCTCGAATAGGGACATCACCAATATCAGTTAGCACTCGTGCATATCTTGTAATTCTTTGCCTGCATAATCAAAATTGTGCTATTATAAGCTATTAAGCTACTTATTATCATAATTTACAAGTAATTGAAGGCCCAAAACAATTGCTTTCATGACCATGGTAGATTCACAGACAAAGAATAACTAGATATAAGGAATCATGCATCATTATAGAAGTCCATGCTATCCTCATAATACAACCAAAAGAGAAAGGAAAAAGTATTAAATTGCTTTCATATTCTTCATTTATAAAGCAATAACAGTTTTATATAAATGTTAACAACATGGAAGTTTCAGAGCAACATAAAATTCCAATATTTTAAGAACTAAACGAAATAATATCCATAATTTCAAGGTTTCAATTGGGTTCTTGAATCTTCTACTAACAAAATTCGATGCAAACAATCAATTATCATTTGCAGATGAGTTTACAAAGCAAAATTTAAGTTGCGCTAAAACTAATGACACTTTCCAAGATTTCTACTTTCCAAAGGAAAACCATATGACTACCTTTTTCAGTAGTTAAGTTTGTACTATTACACCAAATGGCCTCGCAAATGCGAGGCAGGGCAAATGTAGGACCTTGAAGGAAAGATAAATTATGTCCCAAAGGAACTCCAAGAAGAGTTGAAGTTGCTTTAGCACCTCCCAAAGCACGCACAAGTTCTCCCTGGAGAAAAATAGCTTATGCATTTATATTTTTTCATGCAAATCTTATAATCAAAATCACCAAAATAGAATATTAAATTATGGGTCACAAAACTAAATAAACACAAATGCAGTCAAGCAAAATAAACACAAATATGGCATGCCTTAATCTTTGCTCTTTCTCGAATAAGAGTAAGTGAAGCATCTATGACATGACTTTGGTCTTTCTCTAGTAGAGTAGCAAATACTTCTGCAACATTTAGACTTGGCATTGAATGGATACCTCTGCCTGCTATAATTGAAATTTTTGTACCAAAAGAGCAAAACAATTAATTAATTAATTAATTAATATATTTAGAGGCCAAAGAAATTTTGTCAATTTTACTCCTATTAGATGAAACAAAGTAAAAGCATGGTCACATTCATGTAATTAAAAGTGAAAAACAAAAAAACATTTTCTGAAACCGAATAGCCCCTGACCTCTCATCCTAAAACACAAACGATAAAACCCAACAAACACAGCCATGTGACTCAACTTCTGGCATACATCAAGCAATCGCTTCAACCTCGATTTTGAAACTCTAATCAAAATGCCTTTCTTCTTTTTTTGTATTATTAAAATCAAAGTACAAACAAATAGATAACTAGATTAACTGCACCTTTACTTCCTTTTTTTTTCTCTAATTAGAAAATAGCATAACAAATACCATAAACAATCATTGATGTTACCATTGAAACTGCTTTAAGTTCGCCTACTCTAACAAACACTTTGTTTACTAGAAACAATTTACTGAAGCTTGTGATTGACAAAGTTCTATTGCTACTGTAATATTTTAATGCCATGTTTGTTATTACTGATTCCAGTAAAATGTCTTAAAGTTGTTTTTTATCCTAAATTCCTTATGAATACTTTAAGTAAACTATCTTACTATGATCTTTTTTACATTTATCCAAAAAATAAAAACTACAGTTAAGAATGATTGGAAACATCCAAAACCCAATTCATATCCTGTATTAGTCCAGATCTTCAGTTTTTTTACAAGCCTCTATCTCTTTAATTAATAACAACATCTCTTACTTTTAATTCGCATCCTATCTTTTTTCTTTCTTGAAGTGTTATATATTTTCCTATTAGTATGAGTTTTCGAGTAGGTTCTTATTGTCTCAATAGAAATTACAATGACATTATACTTGCTGGTTTTGTTTAAGGACAAAAATGCGAGTGATATACTGTAGCTAGTGTGAGTTTGATTACCTGTGAAATTAGAAAGAGTGACTGCTGCAACAATTAAAGCAATTAATTTGATTTGTGCTGAACTAGGATTAAGAGATTACTTAGGAGTTGTTTGGTGTGAACAGAGTTGTCTGCTCCAACATAAGCATTAAAATATTAGCGAGACGAAAATGGACAAGGATAATGCACATGATAAAAGGCCTTTTGGTAAGCCTGTCACATATAACGAGCCTGCTAATATTGCTAGGCTAGAAAATGTTAAAACTGAGAAAGAAACTAGCCAAGATAAGCAAGAAAATGTGACCCAAGCATATGAGCATATCAACAATGGAACATATCAGCAACTCTTTTCGATTGAGGTTCTCCCTCTCTTAAAACAACCATAGATTTAATTCAACAAATTAATGATGATGAAAAACATCATGAACAAGCCAACTTCAAATAAGAACATCAAAAACAAATTACACTCGTAATTTCAAAAGGCAAATAATACTATAATTTCAAATCAAAACGTTAAAAAACAAATAATAAACATTCATGTTCCTTCACCTCAAATTTGTAATCTCTGAAAAATTTGTTCCACCTAAAACCTCTGAACAAAAAAAATCATAATGAAATATTATACAAATCAAAAATAGGGAATCAAAATGGATATGAATCGAAAACTTGCCTTAAATTAAACCAATCGATCGAAGAACAGCATAGAGAAGAGCAAGCTTAAAGAAGCTCTTGCGACTAACCCTAAATTGGACACTTTGTAAAATGGTTTCACCGTAAATTGCTTCACGAACGATTATGTTGAGGGGGAAGAAGAAGAAGTTTGAGCGTGATAAGTTTTTGCAAGTAAAGTTTCCGCGGAGCATTCCAAGTTAGGTTATTTTAATTTTAAATTTAAGTTCTTTAATTATTTTATTTTACTCTCTTAATTCTTTTAATAAAAATATAAATATACTTTAATTAAGTTGTCCACGTGGTCACACAAAGAGATAATTAGATACTTACATATTGTGGCGGTTTAAAACTGCCAAAACTTTAATTATTTTGTGGGGATCAAGATAACCCCTAGAATTACAACATTTTTTGGTAGTTTATTAAAACCGCTAGAAAAAAATCGCTACTAATTAACTAATTTTTTGTAGTGAAATGTGCCTATCAGGAATATCAATGTGGGTTTTTATAAGAGGATTTGGCTTCCTAATCAATATAAGGTCATGATGAATTTTGAAAGGAACTACATAAGAAGTAGGGTGCTAATGGTCATCGCCATTACTTGTTTTGCACAGCTAATTTGATTTAATTGAAAATTAATTTTGATAGATTTTAATTTAAATTTGAATTTGATTTTTTTTGTGTGTTTTAAGGATATATAAGAATTATACTTTGGGCTGTTCTTAACTTGTTTATGGTCCTGCTTTCTTTTAATGATAATAAGATATTTCTTTAATTTTATATAATACAAAATGTATCTTTAGTTTTATATTTCTTTAATTTTTTATTTAATTATATGTTAGTTTAAATTAAAACATTTTAATCAAACAAGTTGATTGTTTTATTTAATATGTTTTAGTCTCAATAAAATCGTATTGCAACTTGCCATTAATTAAATGTTCACGCGAACTCAATAAAAGAGTGATTTAATTAAATTCTAAAGCATGATTGTTTTAATGATTTAATAAAAAAATAGTCAACTTAATTTTCTATGAAAGGAAATCAAGTATTTTACTTATTGTTGGGTTTAGTTAAAGAATACTAAATAAAGTAAGTGTTTAACTATCGACTGAAATGTTCCTTTTGGTATTTTATGTTTATTTTTGGTATTTTAACCATTTTTGTGTGAACCAACCCCACAAGAACCATGAATATCAACCATCACAAGAACCAACCCCACAATCTTTACAACAACCAATTTGATGTCAAGGTTCTACTGGTACTGGTCAAGCACTGATGAATGAATTACTGCAAGCACCTTCAGAAGCATTTGATCAAGTACATTCAACAACACAAACAGAGAAAGAGAGGCTAAAAAGTGTTGTGTGGGAACATTTTGAAAGGATTATAATTAATTGATGGAAAAGATAAAACTAAATGTAACTATTGCAAGAAATTTCTTGGAGGAGAAAAAACACTTACACCACCATTTATATATATATGTGTGTGTGTGTGTGTGTGTGTGTTTTAAAGAAGGCTTCTAAAAGCGGGAAGGGGGGACAAACAATGCCTTTTTCTAACGTTTTAGGACGTGGGAAAAAGGAATTGGCATGTGGTAATTATAATGAAGAAAATGCAAGGAGGGAGCTTGCATTGATGATTATATAGCACGAATATCCACTTTCAACAGTGGACCATATTGGGTTTATATGATTTGTAGCAGTAATTCAACCATTATTTCAACTTTCTTCAAGAAATACAATGAAGAAAGAGATACTTGGTATCTATGAAGATGAAAAGCAAGTTGTCATGAAGCTGATAGATACAAATGAAGGAAGAGTGACAATTACATAAGATATGTGGACTACAAGAAATCAAAAGAAAGGGTATACGACTATCACAACTCACTATATTGATGGCAATTGGATCTTATAGAGTATCATTTTGAGGTACAAAGTTTCTTTAATTTATAGCTTTTTCACTAATTGGTTTTGCATTTTTTTATCTTCTAATATGACAATATGATTAAATGTATAGGTTTGTTTATGTTCCTACACCTCACATAACCAATCGACTTTGCAATGTATTGATTGATTATTTGTTGGATTGGAATATTGATACAAAATTATCCACTATAACTTTGGACAATTATAGCACAAATGATAGCATGATTGAGAAGATTAACGATAAGTTGCAGTCAGATAGACTAATTCATAATGGATCTTTGCTTCATATGTGTTGCTTTGCAAATATCCTTAATTTGATTATGAAAGAAAGGTTAGGAGTTGTAAAAGAAAGGGTGGAAAAAATTCAGAAAACTGTAGCATATTGGATAGCAACACCTAAAAAAGGGTGGAAAAATTTGAAGAAATAGCTAAATAATTACGAATTCCTTTCAACAAAAAAACAACTTCAGATTCTCCAACAAGATGGAATTCCATTTTTAAGATGCATGATATTGCTTTAAGTTATGAGGATGTATTTTTTCGATTAAAACAACGTGAATCTCAATACACTTGTTTGCCAATTGAATCACAATGAGAGTTTTCAAAAGATGTTTGTGGGAGATTGAGAATGTTTAATGATATCACATAAATAATTTATGGATCCAAATATACAATTGCCAACATTTTTTCCCAAAGATTTGTGAGATTAAACTTGCAATAGATGAATGGGTAAAGTCTCCTAATCAAATCACTCACAATATGGTTAAACAAATGTTAAAGAAATTTGAAAGTTATTGGAGAGTGTCATTCATGATATCATGGGAGTAGCTTTTGTTTTAGATCCAAGGTACAAAACGGATTTGCTTGAATATAATTTTGATAAATTGTATAATATTGATTGCGATTTAGAAATTAGTAGAATTCATTAATTGTATTATGATTTGGTTTCTGAATATCAAGTAAAAAAGAATGAAGGGTCTTCTTCTGGGTTTTCATCATTTAAGGAGGGAAATGTTGGTGATAATGGCATGAGTGATTTTGTAAAGTTTATGAAAAAAAAACTAGAACTTCATCTATGAAAATAGAGTTGGATCATTACTTGGAGGAAAATAATTTACCTATTACATCAGATTTTGATATCTTATCATGTGAGAAAACAAATGGGTTGAAGTATCCAACACTTCAAGCAATTGCAAGGGATGTTTTATCTATATTCCAATCACTACTGTAGATTCTAAATCTGCTTTTAGTTTTAGTGGTCAAATATTAAGTCCTAATCGTAGTCTTCTTAATCATACTATCATAAAAGCTTTGATATGTACTAAAAGTTGGCTATGGAACTCAGACTATCTAGTTATATTATTAAAAAAAACATATTAGCATTAATGTTCAATTAGTAATATTGTATCAACTTTTAATTAATATTTTGTATTTGATGTTTGTAGGTGCTAAAGCCATTGAAGAAACAATTGTTGTAACGAGTGAAAGTGAATTTGATGATGAAGCTATATTATATTTTTGTATTACAATTTTTCAATTTGATTTATCATATCTAAAATTTATCTTTTTTGTTTGCAGGTGGATATAGAATGCAAGTGGAATTACTGAACATATGCAAAATTAATAGATGTTCTAAATGGATTTTAATTTCATTAGTCCAATCTAATTTTAAATTTTTTCATTCATAACTCAATTCTAATTTTTTTAAAAATTGTCTTATCATAGGTGGATTGAAGCTTAATGACATTATTCAACATTTTTCACTTGCAAGATGAATTCTATATATTTTTTATTTGAGAAATTTCAATTTGTTTTGTTATTTCAACTCAACATTATGGTTGTTTATTTGTAACATTACTCAACATTTGTGGTTGTTTAATTTGTAAGATTTTAATTATGTGTGGTTGTTTAATTTGTAATATTTTAATTATGTGTGGTTGTTTATTATGATGTGAAACATTTGTGGTTGTTTAATTATTAAGAATTCTCTTGATTTAAATATGAGATAGACAAACAACCCAATTACTATTGTAATATAACAGAAAGATAAGCTAAAAATATTGTGTTTTTTTGAAAAAAAAATTAATTAATTCTTGATTGGTATGGGTACGGGTATACCTGATACCCGACGGAGACAAGGATAAAACGAAAATTACATACCCACCAAGTATCGGGATGGGGACGGGGATAGGTTTAAATCTCGGAAATGGTGATGTGTATCATGAAACTCGTACCCACCCTACCCCGTTACCATGTCTAGTTCAACCCAATTTTCCACGTGGCTTTGTACATCAAATACTGTGTTATCTTGTAGCATGCAACAACTTTGACGTAATGATGGAGTTCTTTTTAGTAATTATCACCCCTATTCTAAAATTGTTGGCATTTAAGACTAGTACTTTTATACACAAATTAAATAATATTTAATACATGTAAAATATAAACATATTTAATCTAAAATAATCTTATTTAACATAAGATCTCCCTTTCACATCTCTCTCGTTCACTATATTTTTTTCCTTTCTCTTCATACCATGTGTTCAATCACTTCAACAACCACAGGTTGTAGCTCAGATCTTCTTTTGTTCGTCATCACACCGTTGCAATTCGGGAAGTGAAGTCACGCATTACCTACCCTAAAAGCAAACCCTTATTTCTTTCTGTTTTGAAACCCTTCGCTACTTATTTGTTCCCTTATTAGACATTTTTTCTTTCTTTTTTCTATTTTCTCTCTTTTGGTCTTTATGGGCTAGTTTCTGTGGGTCAGCTAATGACAATGTAACCGTGTGGCTTTCTTTTGGATTTTGGGCTTTTTTCTTCTTTTCTTTTCTTTCTTTTTCTTATTTTAAAACATTGATTATAAAATAACTTGGCCCATATTTTCGTGTTTCTCACTTTTGTAGATTTAAACAATCATAAGATAAACATAAATAATAACATTAATAATTAAAATGAATTAAAAATTATCTTAAAATTAAGTCTTGTAACTTGACATGAATAAAA